GGGTGCAGAGGGAGAAGGACTGGATGGCCTGGCTTGGTTTTCTAACCTGCACGTCCTACCAAGACCGCTCCACAGCAGGAGGGAGCTCAGGGCCCCATCCGGTCCCGATGGGGTGAATTTATCCTGTGCTGAGGTGCCTCTTTTCGGCCCCTGATGGTAACAAGACCATTATTCAGCAAACAGTCAACAAATTCCCTGTATCCATGGGCAGTGCTGTCGCCAGCGCTGGACGGAGCCCCCCAGACTCCTCTGCCGTCGCTGGTTTATCCCGACAGCAGCGACGACAGACGCCGAAGCCTGTGCCACATCCCAGCACAAACACAGGAGGAGGACTCGGGGCAGCATCCCGGGAGCAGCCGGCGCTGCCTCCCGGCTGGGAACGCGGCTCTCCCTGCTGTGGCCCTGGAGCAAACCCAGAGCCTTTGCTACCGCAGCCGCTTGCAATTCACCCACGGGCCTGTTGTTTGCAGCCCAGGGCTCAGGACCTCCAGCACAACCCCCTCTCTCCAGCAGAACCAAAGCTCTTGGACCTTTGCTGTGGAATCACGTTGCCTGAATCTGGTTTATAACGACAGTAACAACTTCAAACACCGTGCAGCTGTAACAACGCTGCTGTTCAACGCAGCGGTCTCTGCTTAGGAAACGCCTGCGGTATCTGAGTTCTTTTAAAATGCCAAAAGCTGTTAAATAAGAGACCCTCGGCTCTCCCAGCACTGAGTGAGGAGGAGGAGACTGCCCGGGTCTGTACCTGTGTCAGGAGAACTGAGGCCCTGGAGGGGGGGGGGACCCCTGCAGGCTCTGGGGGTCCCGCGGTGCCCCCTCTTCAGTAACTCGCACTTCCAGCACTTGCTGAGCTGACCCAGCCAAAGCAAAACCCAAACAGCTCCAGCTGGCAGAGCCCATGGGAAGCCGGGGGGCGGCTCCTGTGCGGCAGGTCCCGGGGGGGGCTGAGCCCCCCGGCCCGCGCTGCCCCCCCAGCCCGGCTGCTTCGCCCCTCGGTTCTTGGGGCCCTGCAAACCCCTGGGCCCCCAGACATCCCAGCAGGGAGCGTTACAAACCTCCCTCCCTCAGATAAACAGCCCAGCTCCCGGGGAGCTCTCAGAACAAACCCCCGGGAACGGTTCGGAGGCTCCGAAGTGCCCGGTGCCTGTGGATGGAACTCGCGTCCTTAATGCGAACGAGCAGGGAGGGTTTTCTCCTCCTGACACATCCTGAGAGACATAAAAGAAACCTGGAAGAAAGTAACGTGACCCCTGCCCAAATCAAAAGAAAAAAAAGACACAAAACCCCCATCTGCTACTGAAGAAATAAATCACCAAAAGGAACGTAATTTCTTCCTATTAGACACATCTCGGCTTCGGGGATCAGAAATTACCCCACAGCCACCACTGAAAGGTCAGGGGAGCAACAGCTGAGCCCCCTTTATGCCACGGATGAGATGCACGTTTTCCTCCTGGCAGCTGTGGGTGCCTGGAGTTGAGCTCTGCCCCCAGACCCAGCTCACAGGGGGGTCACAGCCCCCAGGGGGTCACAGCCCCCCAGGGCACACACCAGGGGCTGCCAGGGCAGCTGGGGTGGGCACTGCCCTGCCCCTTGCACGGGGGTTTCTGCTGCTCCTCACTTCAGTGGAAAACAATTCAGCAAGGTCACAAAAGCCTCTGACACAAAAAGGCACTGTTGAAGAATAACTATTTCTGCTTTAAACAAATTATAGATTCTGGATACTTTGCGGGTGCCACAGAGTCAGTAATTCTCTCTTCTGCCAGCAAAGCCTGGAGGGATTAATAAACTGCTTTGAACTGAATTCCTGAGGAAGAGGAGCCCTACCCAAGTCTCACTGCAGAGAGATATTTTACAGTGCAATATGCAACAGAGAGCATTCATTTCTCATCAGCTACATGGCTTCTATATTGATTCATTTTTATATACACCAGATTATTTATAGCAATAACCAAGGATGGGGCTCCAAACCCTGCTTCTTATTTGAGACCCAAAAGAAGAGAAGTCTTGTCCTCAGGCCTTACCCAGGAATGACAGGACCTCAGAGACACCCATCCTGTCAGCATCCAGCCAGGCATGGAACCAGCCACCTGGGAGCAGGGCAGTGACACCACTGAGCAGTCACACAGCTCTGTGACACAGCTCTGCACTGCTCCCCAACCTGGCAGCAGGAGGCTCCCAAACTGAAGCACTGGGCTGAACTGGATTTGAGGGAGCCAAATCCCATGGATAAGAGGTGCAGCTGTAGCACGTCTGTGAAGAAGCTAGGAGCTCCTGCAAAGAGCTTTCCACACTCACACACCCCAAACCCACCCGTGAGGAAAGCAGGCCCAGTGCTGTGCCAGGCCAGGGGAGATCTAACTCATTAGGGGTTATGGTTTGTTTTTGAAATGAGACAAATGTGCCTGCAGAGCAGGCACAGGACAGGAGCAGGTTTCATGGGGCCATGGTCACCCATCGCTGCCTCCTCCATGGGGGGTCCTGGCTGGACAGAAACAGGATCAATTTGATCCAAACCAGCATGTGCTGGGAGAGGCAGCAGAACAGCAGCACGGAGCTGAACTCCTGTCTCTTGGGAAAGCACCTCAGGGAGCAGCAAGGCTGCTTTCTGTCTCCATCTGCCATGGTCGTGCAGGGCTGCACATTAGGGGAGGCAGCTGCTGGCACCTGCTCTTCCTCTGGGCTGTTCCAAATTATTTCAACTGCATTCTGTAAGAAACATGATTTATGCTTCACAGTGTTTTGGGTAAAAGTATCCACGTGTTCTGAAGAAAGAAAACCTGAAGGGCATAGAATGCCAAGGAAACATCCTATGGTGCTATGGCTGGAGACTAGAAGAGCCAGGAAACAACAGCAACAACCTTGTTCTTCATTCTTACATATCTTCATGTACTTAAACTGGATCAGTTAAAAGGTTCCCTTTCCAGATTTCTCCAACCAAAATAATAACAGAAAGACTAGTAAGGCCAGAAATTCATCGATAACATGAGAAACCAAATACCAAGAAAGCCTCTATCCTGTTACTAGCTTTTATTTAGAATACCCATGTCCCAGCGCAGCAGAGACATCTTCTGGAAGCCAACAAACCACTGCAGACAAAAATTCTAGCTCCATCTCACTCATGGTCAGTTCGGCCGATTCACTTAAACACCAAGACTGCAAGAAATACCACAGCTGTTTAACTTGCCCCTCACATCAGAAAATAAAAATAGAACATACAGATCCTCACTTGGGAACCAGCTCCCCCAGACATCTGTGGGAAACTCTTTGCTTTCAGGACAGTTCCTGAAGGGAAGAAAACCCACAGATTATCAGAGTGAGGCAGCAGTACTTACTGTTGTAAAACTCTGAACTAATTTTTGGCTGCTCAGATTATCTGGCTGCTGCTTCATCAATATATTAGATTTTTATTGCCATAATCCCTGCTTTTTGGAACCAATAAAACTGCTTTTGTACAGGG